TTTGGTTTTTAGGCCACCACAATCTTTGCGGCAGACGAGGACATCCAGGAAGGCCAGCTGATTGTTTTCCTCCTCCTCCATCGTAAATTGAATGTCCGGGAAGACGGCGTTGAGTTGTTCTTTGAAAGTCAGCACCTGATCCCGTTCGATGACGACGAAGGTGTCATCCACATACCGAGCCCAGAATTTCGGTCTGTGGTGTCGGAAAACCAGCGACTCCAGCCGTTGAAGGACCGCCTCGGCTATGAGTCCCGAAATCGGCGAACCCATTGGCGTTCCCTTCACCTGCTCGTAGATTGTTCCGTCGAATGTAAAGTACGTCTTGAGACAGAACTTCAGGAGCTGGATGATTTGGGCGTGTCCGAGGCGATTCTCCGTTTCGTCGTACTTCTCTCGTAGGAGTAGTTCGATTGTCTCGACTGCCAGGTCCTGCGGGATAGAAGTAAAAAGGGACGTGACATCAAAGGAAACCATGGTATCGCTTGGCAGGAGACTTACTCCTTTAAGTTTCTCCAAGAATTGCGTTGACGAGCTGACTGTGGTGTTCGAATCGGAGGTCAGAAACTTGAGACGTTGGAACAGCCACTTTGCCAGTCCGTAGGTTGGAGTGCCCTTTAGTGACACGATAGGCCGGAGAGGAGCGCCCTCTTTGTGCACTTTTGGGAGACCGTAGAATCGGGCTAGGGCCGTTTCTTGTGCTCTCGCCATGCGTCGGTCGATTGGCGATATTGCACCTGAGTTCTCCATTGCCAACAGCGTCGCGTTAATCTCGCGTGTCAGCGTTTTCATGGGGTTGGATTCGCATGGCACATAGGACTGACGATCATCCAACAAGCTTCGCTTCTATCAGTTCTTGAAATATCAGTGAATACTCCGCGACTTTTGGATGTGCTCAGTCGAATGTACAAAAAGTTGTTCTATTCATTTCATGGTTTCCAAAACTTGAAAAATAAACTTCTTCCTGTACAGTAAGTTGCCGACGGCTTAGGCCACATAAATGAACTCATCTGAATGCGAAACAAAGTCGAAAAAAACCAACGTCAACACCGAAGACCTAAGACAGTCGGACGAAAAATCTGCCAAATGTCTTCTTTTAAAAGTGTCTTGGGTCGGAACTCATTTCGAAGCCGTACCTGCAGTAGACAAGCCCCAGCCTAACCCCTAACCCCATCCCCTAACCTCTAACCCCTAGCCCCTCACCCCAACCCCTAACCTTAAGCCCTAAACCCTAACCCTTAACCCCTAAACCCAACCCCTAACCCCTAACCCTAACCGTTAACAGGTACGGCTACGAAATTAGATCTTGCCGTGTCTTGCTGCATTAGTCTAGAGATTAATGTCAGCGTCCTTCAGCGTTTTCCGATGTTGATTTAAGACGAAATTAATGCAGTTGGCTGGTCCGTGCACTTCACAAACTGAATCTGACAACTTTTCCACCCCAACAAAAACATTCTTTTGTCTCTTTATTTCGCCCAAAATGCACAATTTTTCGTTGGATACTTGACGTGGAAGCACATTCTGCCTTAAGGCGATAAAGAAACTGTCCTACATCCAAAGTACCCCGGAGGACATGTCTGGATTCTGAGCCACACCTTCCACGAATTTGGCTCTCTTCTGTATACCCGTGCCCAAGGCCATCTCGCTAACACCTAGGCACTTGAAGAAACCACCCAGCGCAGTGAGACCACTTGTAATTACGCGTTATTTTTGGTGGTCCTCAACTTCAGCAGTAAAGTGAACTTTGTGACATAAGTTAAGACAGTCGGGCGCAAAATGGCGCAGTCCGAAGTTGTCAGTGAGGCAGTTTTAACGAAGATCTGCATTTGGCATGCCTATTTATGGATTAGCAGGGTGTGGCAAATTAGAGGTTGTCAGTAACGTGTGCAAACAGTTGGCACTAGGAGGTCTTCGGTTGTAATGAGGGGCGCTTTAGACGCTGAATGTGTTGCAGGAGAACGCACTGAACCCGTTTCTTGCAGTGCGTGACAGTGTGAATTTGCTGTTCTCATTGTTAGAACTGTCACAGTTCCCTCCGCCTGATCGAGATTCCCGATTGGTCTGACTACGAGTTCATTGGGTTGGCGGTAGAAGAACTTCTTCCTTCTTTTTTCTTTCAAGGCCTTACACGCGATGCAGCAATCATTTTCAGCGTGCTGGGCGTGGTGGTAATGAATTTTATGCCACAAGATGTCGTTACGCATGTGACATTGCAGCTTTAGAAATGAAATGAACAGGTTACTGCTATTTAGCTTCCATGTACGTCACTAACACGACTGCGACCAGCTCATCGGAAATCGGCACTGTCGGGTTAGTCTACCCCGGCCAACGTTTGGTGCACACCCCCATTCGCTCCTGCGGTCCACAGATAAGTTGGATAAAATGTTTACATTTCCAGAAGGAGTAACCCCACTGAATGTTCTTCTGGATACACCTATAATCGGGCCTCATTGACGCATCAACAGACACATACACAACAGGCGTTAGCTTTCGAAGAACACTTCCACGCCACCTTGTCCGCCATATTACTCACAATGAAAGGGGATTTAGAGGGGAACCAGGTGGCTTATCTTGAAGTCTCCTTCTACCTGAAAAAACTACGATGGTATTCAGTTCAACGAGATATATCACACAGAACTGAACTACGACAAGGACCACACTATTGGTCACAAATGCTGTTGCATGAGGACGGTCGACAGATGCATTGGGAGGGGATTCAGTGGGGAGCGCAGAATTTCAGTAGCCTTCTCAGGTGCTCGGAGCGAATATCCATAGCGCTGATCAATGCGCACAAAGATAGAACGCCAGACGGCCAGAACAGACGACATGCAACTACAGTTTTCCGGTAGCCAAGAGCGTTTTGGATGCCGTCAGCTGCCTGGGCACATCACGTGTGCTTAGAATTTCCAACCGGGCCATGAGAGAACTATCCGAAGCCAAGAGATAAAGTCGGAGGACTCGTTGTCAACGCAGAGAAACTCAGGACTCTTTCACCGAATCCGGATTATTTTCCGGAAGACTGCCCAGCAGTGGTGGACGAAACCGAAATCCTCACAAGCGCGAATTGTCTCAAGCATGGGTCTACAACTAGGAGTTGAATGTTAGACGGAGAGATCTCACTTCAGTCTATACACAGCGTTGAGACTCTGCCGGGACAGTCTCATTGTTCATGTGGAACTAGAAAGTGAAGAGAACTGCGAAGGGCAATACTGCGACGAGGGTTTGTCAAGTTATCACGGCAGTTGTGAAGACGAGTGGTGAGGCATTGCCAACCGTTGTTCCAACTGTCGCCTACCAGCCAAATGACATGTGACTGCATAGCGTCGGAGACCACCACAAAGGGACTGGGCTGTATTTGCGACCGGCCAAAATGGGTGTCAGACTGGATCACGGCAAGTGTTAATCGAGTTGCACAGGGCACGCGCATACCACGACGACTGCCGTACATGGGGGAGGGGGAGGGGGTTGTTGCCCGCCCAGACGTAGGCTTCACGCTGAGTCAGTGGCTGTGCCCGATCGCACCACTCATTTTTGAGTGGCTTGGACAGCCAATCGGTGTAGGGAGAGGTGAGAGGGAGCGACGTCGACGCTAGGAGCCCATCTCAGCGGCACACCAACCCCTTCCTCGCCCATACTAAATCCGACGCGCTCAAGCCTATAATAACGTGTTAAAAGTAGCGACTTGAAGGGTTTCCAACTAACGGGCTAACTGGATCCTCCTGTCAGGCCTGCGAGTCAGGATCGGTGGGTCCTTCTTAGTGTCGCCTCCATGACACGCCTACCGAAGCAAGATCCGAGCCGCTGCCGTGGAAACCTGGCAGGTTCTACGATGCGTAGGTCGTGTGTGGCACGCGCAGACGGGTTGTTTAACTTTGTCAACCCCTGCGTTCGGAGCCACCTCCTGTCTTCCTGGCTCCGTTTTGTCATCTGGGTCAGATGGGTGGGGGAGGGGAGTGCGTGATAGATGCAGCGCAAGTCACCGTTCTGTTCCCACCCTGTTTTGTGGCACAGGGTGGGCATCTTCGTTGAGCTGTCGCATAGAGTCCCTTGCGCATCTCTGCCTCTACCTACATCCCCATCTGATAACGGTCTCCGAGATGAAGCCGAAACATCCGACGAATACATCGTATGCTTCTGCAAACGGGTCTTCTTTTTCTGAGTTTTGCACTGGAAAATATTTACATTAAGTCTGGTACCGAACGTGAAATTCACATACTCACGACTTACTTCGAAATCGCAATATGATCTGTAACTGAGTTGCGGACCGCCAGATATAATTGTTGAGAAGAACAATCTGTCCTCTAAACACCCATGAATGGTGACCTTGCTTTTGGGACGGATTTTGGCCCACAGTCGTTAGACAATTAAATCTCAACTCAATTATCTGCAAAAACTCCCAGCACATAACACAGTTCAATCTATATACCTTGTATGATTTATCACACTGACGGTACAGGTAGTAGCCAAAAGCCCATACACATGGTTCGCCTATATTTTGACGTTGTATGACACGGCTGTGAGGGGTTCGCTACGTGAGTGCGTCTCTTAGCGTTCCGCGTGTGCTTTCTGGTAGATACGCCAGTCCGTACTTGCAGTGCTTGTGGTCATAGCAAAATGTATCGGAAATGTTGTAATACTGTGGAATGTTGATTGCGAAAATGAGGGCATGCAGGTTTACGTGCCTTCTGAAGTAATCCGTGGGAGCTGTACATTTCACTTTTCCCGCATATTTCTTCCGTCATACTGGAAATCTGTTGGGGAGATGTGGGAAACATATTTACCTCCTAGAATGCGACTTTCTTTCCCGGTAAATTATCGGTGGAAAAAAACCCAATTTTTTGAACAAAGCAAAGGCGAAGAAACACGCAGATTCTGATGACGCCATAAAATTGCGTGACCACTTATTCAATTACATACGTTCATTGCCTATTTGTGAGGTAGCCTGTTCAGTTCGAGAGCGACCTAGAACAGTAAAATGCTCGGCAGGTTTTCACTGTAATCCGTACTCGCTTGCTTTGATGGCTACCCACTTTCCCCCTCGCCATGCGCAGCCGCATACCAGACCAGGAGTCCATGTTCTATTTACCTATCACGTTTCAGTCCCCTAAGTCGCTCTCTAATTGGACGGTTTATCGTATAAATATGCAATGACCATTCGCAGTTGAATAAGAAGTCACGAGGTTTTATGACATCGTTGGGATCAGATGTTGTAAAATGAGTTAAAATTGCGCAAAATAATTTAATGTCCCGAAGCGTTTTGCATTTAATTTCTTTTGCCACTCCCTGCATCCAAACAGTCCATTTGCGCTTCTCACACACGAATTGCTGCCTATACCAGCATTAATTCAGGCGGGGGGGGGGGGGTGGAAGATTCTTCGGATCACAAGCTGATGTGATTCCCATGAAAGGTCTTATTAGGAAGGAGGCCCTACGCTCTGACCCTCAGACCTGAGTAGGCCGTAGGTCTTCCGCCAACGGACAGCCGTTGAAATCACTACTTTAGGAGCGTCGTGGTAAGTCTAGGCGCGCCAGATTAATTATAGCGAGGAATGTGCGCTCAGTTGGCATCAGGAAGGCTATCTCAGGATCTACTTCGCTTTCTCTCTCTCTCTCTCTCCTCCCCTCTCAGTCCTCCTAGGAATCTGTCTCAGCCTGATGGCTGACTGGTGTCGGGACTGGGTGCACTGCGGAACATTACTTGAATCCTCCGTCCAACAAGTGTCATAGAGGCCTCGTGTAGACCCAGCGCTTCCCGACTAAATTCGACTCTAAAAGCCTAGCACAGGGACTGAGCAGCTGGCTTAGGTGCGGAACTTGTACCACATTGTGCCAGCCACGGGGTTTCTACATCGTAACCTTGAGATCAACAACACAAGCACAGATGTTGCCCTTTAAGGTTTACTGCCGTTCCTTTTCCCTGACAGTCGACTTGGAATAGTGTGAGATGAGGGTAGGGGAAAAAGCTGGGGTCAGGGGCTTGCCACAAAGGTTTCTGACCAAAGGAAATTCACTGATGGCTCCTTCTAAATGACTCTCTCTCTCTCTCTCCCCCCCTCTCTCTCTCTCACTCGCACACACATGTGAGATACAAGTCGCTTCCCTTGTGTTTGTAATCCTTGTGAGTTTATGTGGCGCACGCAGACGGGTTCTCTAACTGAGCCCACTTCTAGCATCAGATAACTGACAGACTCGAGCAGTGGGGTGCGCTGAGTTGGGAGGTGGAAGGGTACTTCAGGATCTGTCTTGCTCTCCCTATCTCCCTCTCATCCCTCCAAGGCAGCGGCGGTCTGTTTGAGCTTTTTGGACGACTGGTGCGGAGACTGGGTGCACTGTCTGACACAAAGCAAAACCTCCGTTCAGCAAGTGCCATACGGTCGTGGTTAGGGGGCATCGTGTGGATTCGGAGAATCCAGACGAACGTCTGTAATGAGCCTGCGTAGTCGCCATTTTGTCCTATCACAGCAGTGGAACCTTGGTTTCAACAGCGCAAGCACATGGCTATGCCATGCACTGCCCAGAGCCCTTGCCGCATTTTTTTAAGGTAAACTTTTCAGGCAAATCTTCCAAATGCCCGAAATCTTAGCTGGCCACTTCCATGCAGTTGCGGGAGACTGTAGACAACAGGGCGAATTGGAAGACTAAGTGAGCTGAAACGCGTGAAAAATGTCAGTTGGGCGTAAGAATGCATTACTTTTGTTGGTTTCCCGTGGGAGGACTGCGCGTGTATGTAAATCCGCTTACGACGTTCCATGGATAGCAAACAGGAGATAAAGGAGATAGCGGGCTTTCAGTCAACCAGCTCTTAGAATGTTTTGCCTATTGGAAGTTAGTGTTGCTTTAATCGACTTTGTTAGTTTCTTCATCTCATGAACCTTTCCACGATACGTATCCTTATTTGCGTGGACTTTGTCCTGTAAGTCCACCTACGAAAGGGGAAGACAAGAAGCAGTGTTGCGGTAAGATCGCAGTTGGTAGCCAGACATTATACGTTGATACTGTCGACGTACTTACTTGTTATCTGTAAGTGTGCTCATCTTGTCTAGGGAACTTGTTATCAGTAGGTGTGCTCCTACTGAGTTAGGCAGGTCGCCCGTTTCGGTCAGGCTGTTGGGTTTAGTGAGGGTTAGGGGTAGGCGTAGGTTAAGTTTTAGGATTAGGGTTTGCGTTTTAGGGTCGGGTTTCAGTGTTAGGATTAGGGTTAGGTCTATGCTTAAGGGATACGATTAGGTTTAAGATTTCGGTTAGAGTTAAGGTTCCCGTTAGGCTTACGGTTACGGGTAGGGTTAGGTTTCGGGTTATGGCTAAGGTTTGGGTTAGCGTTGGGTTTTAGGATTTCGGTTACGTTTCGATTTCGGGGTTTAGGTTTAGGCTTTATGGTTAGGGTCAGGGTTGGATTTTAGGGTCAAGGTTGGGGTTCGGTTTTAGGGTTAAGTTTAGTGTTAGGTTTCCGTATTGCAGTTAGGTTTTACGGTTAGGCTTAGGACATTAGTGTTAGATTTTAGGTTTATGGTTGCTGTTAGACTTTGGTTTTAAGGTTAGGGTTAGGAGTAGGCTTTAGTGTTAAGGTTGGGATTACCGTTTAGCATTACGGTTAGGTTTAGAGTCAGTGTTAGGGTTACATTTTACGATTACAGTTACGATTCGATTGTGGGACTTAGAGTTAGGTTTTGGGGTTACGGTTATGGTTAGAGTTCACGTATGAAGTTAGGGTAAGGGCCAGGGACCTCGCCGTCCGCTTCCCCATTCCTGGCTACCAACTGCGATCTAACCGCAGTTGCTACCGGTTAGTTGTAAAGTGTTGTTAAGGTTGGGGCCAAGTTGACAGTCACGGGGGTTTTCTATAACAGTTTGTGCCAAAGGATATCAGCTGAAATGCTATGCGTGGAACGAGCAAGGCAGGGAAGTAAGCCAAGCACTCAAATTCAACGAACAAGAAACGTTTTATTTGACCATATGCGCGGTATTTGCCCTCTGCGTGGGCTGTGCTCTGCCCTACTCAGTGAACTCGTGCGGATGTAATAACGGAAGTTGGTCTATTTGTTTTAAGTCATCATTCACAACAACGCGTGAATGAAGATGTATACTGGTCTGCCTAATCCATGAATTTTGCTTACTTTTATGACAACAGTGACTTCTAAGGACTTGGGTCGCAGAAATAAAAAGGGTCCCGAAGTTGCTTTTTTTCAAAAAGTGGTGAAACAGATGTCGCCACCTTATGAGGGTCTTTAAATATTCGAGTAATTAAATGCATTCGGAAATTAGAAAACCGCGCATAGACATAATCATTTGAAGCATTTTGTCCCCGGTACGAAGCTGAAGTAGGCAAGAAGGGCAGGATTTATTGGTACCAAAAAATTTCGCGACGGCTCCTCAGCTGCGTCCTGTCGCTTCATAAGAGAGATAACGAGTGAGAAGAATACAACAGATTTGAATTCGTGCAGAAAATCAATGCAGAAACAGCAAGGTCAGGGTTTTGGGTAAAGTTGGCTAATTAATAAAGTTAGTAACTCAAACACCGTAGGCCAAGAAAGTGAAAAAGGGGAAACGTTAAAGAGCAAAAAAGAGAGGAGAAAGGGAAAATCATGGAGCTAGAGGCTACCATGGCAATGTTAGGTTAACCACGTGTTCCAATTGTTAGCAAAGATCTGGTTTCACTCGTCGTATATAGGCCGCCTCCAGGTAACGCAATGTCCGAGTTGTTCGTGCCTGAACAAGTACTCGGAAGGAAGTTTTGGGGTCGACGGAGTGACCACTATCAAGCAGGTGTTTCGTAATGGAAGAACGCGGGATTTTATGTTCTTGTCTTAAGAGCCATCTGGGCAGGTGCTCAATAGACCTGGCTGCCATCTGCCTTTGCGTGCGTCCAACGTACTTGCATTCGCAAGTGCATGTGAATTCATAAACACAATTTGAAGTGGCGTGCATTGGCAAGGCATCCTTTGCCCGTGGAATCAGAAGTGGCTTAGTAGGACTGCATAATACTAGTTCGGCTGCATTGTATGTCCTTTCAATGGTGGAACGTAGCCATCGTTTGATAGTACTTAAAATATTGTCGCCCTTAAAGGGCAAAGATATAAAGACGGGCTTTTTCGGAGCTGAATGCTCTGTCAATTTTGGCCGTGTAGAGTTGCTGTATTTGTGGATGAACCGTGCGGGATATCGTTGTTCCAACGTGACGATACAGGTCAGATGACACAGACTCTGAATTGATGAAACATTGTCCCTCTGGCCTGTATCGCCCCTCGATTCCTGCAGCGAGACACAAATTACGTGGGAATGGGATCCACTGCTCTTGTACTGATTACCTGACGACATGCGAAAGATCCCCCGTCTATTTGTGCTTCTTGCCTAGGCTCCATGTGATGAGTAGTCAGTGATGGAAAAGTGACCAAAGCTCACTGCGTGGCTGGAATGACTATTTAAGGCATTATTTATGGTCATTAATCATTTAAGGCGAAGTTCACGCCTCCAACCTTTTGGGACAGTGCGTCATGGTAGCGCGGGGGGGGGGGCGAGTTGCCTCGCCAGTCGGTAGTCTTCTAAGCCACGACCAACGGGGCATTTTGATGGCCGAAAGCGCGTCCCTATCTCAGACAGCCATTGGAGGCTAAACTAAGTCTGTTGTTCAGGGGTGAGACAAGCCACACCTGAAGCAGGTCAACAAGTTGTTTCGTTTAGGCGTTGAAAAATTGGCATGGCTGGTAAGGAGTGGCGGCTGACTTGGATTGAAGAACAGAAATGTTGCCGACTGTCTGCAAGGGCTGAAACCTATTTTTAGGTAGGACTGATTCTAAGCATAACCAGCATTGCCGCACCTGTGCTTGGCTGGCAAGACGACCTAGGTGTAACTAACTTTGACCGAATGCTGTTGATAGTAGAGTTGGTGCTCGTGAAACTTTATTTGATTTTTATAGACTGCGATACTAGGGTGACTTCTTAGTCAATATTTTGCTTGTTGACTGACTTATTCTGTCAAGATGTAAGTTTTTGCTGTTTGAATGTAGTAGCTGGACCTGACGACCGTATCCTTCTGTTATGTATTCTCTGGGTCGGTGTGTGATGCGTTATCACGCACATTCTGGCCGTCAGGACAGAGGAAGCCGCGACTGATTACTGTCTAAGCCGAATACAAAGCAGTGATCACAGTCGTTTCCGGGTGGTAGTCAGATGGGGCCCTGTATTGAGGAGGTTAATTCTTGTCAAACCTCTGTTGCAACCTCAAGGTGCTGGTGCTCATAGTCGATCTTTCGTATCACGTAAGAGCCGTTTCAGGGAAGGAATTATTTTTCTCCAAGAGAACGACAATGAATACACCTGCAGACGGATCTTTGTCTGATGCTCATTCAGTTTGCATGTTAGCCAGTTGTGAGGATGTTTGTCTTTTTTCATCGCACACGAGTGACGCCCCAGAGTAGGATGCGAACAACTTCATCAGGAATTAGCTTTCAGCCGTTTCTGCTGGAAGTAGTCTGTGGAATACTAGCGGGGAACTCAGCAGCGAAAAAAGTTTTCTGAGATGCTGAGAAACCTCCGTTTCCGTGTTCCTCGCTTGTGTGGGACTGCGGCTACTGATTGTGTGGTTTATCCGGTATTCCCTTTAGCCTGACCCTGAAGGCCAGACCAAGGACGCTCTGTGCGACTCTTCTGTCAGTATGATGGGGAAACCCTTGAACTGATGGCTTTGGAGCGGTAGATGTTAATGGTATCCTCAGTCTCTCTCGCCTCTGATTCGGCAGTTTGCTTTCTGAATCTGGGAGGGAGAAGACCAGGAAACGTTACTCAAAGCTAACCAGTTACATGTCTGTTAGGGACAGGTGATTGACCGATCGCAAGATGGGGACCATCGAGGCTGCTGTTTAGGCGAATCGGAAACTGCCTCGGTTTATACAGATCAGTCGCGCCAGGTGATCTTGTTCTGTATGGGTGCGCGTATTGTTGCAGCAGACTTGTAATCTTCAAACAAAGACACGACTATCTCCTCTTGGATATGACTGACAAGAAGTGCGACTGACCATTAAGGGGCTTGCTAACTTCTACCCACCCCCTCCCTCTCCCCATTCGGACAACTTCGAACGATGCCGATATGGTCATTCCCTCTATTATGAAGAGCATTTATCAGCACAATCAAAAGAATCCGGACTCCGGAGATGAAGAACTGAATAGCAGGCTGCGTATAAGCATCAGCTACCTTTCTTGATATAACCAAAAGAATTGTTCATCGTTTACATAGCAAGGTACTGGGTTTGATGATTACCAACTACAAGGTTCCCACAACAGCAGAAATGAGGCAGAAACCCCACACTCTTCAAGATAAGTTCGAGCTAGACGAAATAACTAGCGGAGCCGTCTTGTCTCCAGTGGTTCAGCTTCTGTGAGGTAGTTTTGTGGCTTGTTGCGTCTGATGTAACAATCAGTACTTGGAAATACGGTAACCAGACCAGGTTGCTCATGCTGTCAGTGGGTGACGTAAGAGAGAAGATTTAATGGGGTGCAATGTAGGTTAGGTTTGTTGAAGGTCAGACCAATCCAGAGGCGTCCTGGTGAGTTCTAATTTATGATAGTTCATAGATGAGATAGAGGCAATAAAGATACCTGTGCGCATAGATTAATTGCACTTTGATGACCACTATTCAGATGGCATACATTGTGTGACCTTATATTTTCCCCAGGTTGTGTATATATTGCACTTTTAGGGTTTGCCGCCTACGCTGAAAGATCGGCTTTCTGATTAACAAACCATGACTGCGAAGAAGGAAACAGTCACGATCAAAGCAAAATGTTTGACGAAAGATTCATTCGCACTTCTAATAGCACGAGGGTAATTTCGTTCACTCAGATAGTCTGGAATGACCAGTCTGGTCGCGAGGATAATAATCACGGTCACCGGCGACCTCGTTCGATCCGAGGTGAAAATCGTTCTCCTCAGTAAAACTGGCTTCTCAAATCAGAAATAGGTAAATGGAAACCACCGGAATGCTAGGATCGCTGATTTGGAAGCAAAGCTTCTCATCACAGAGATAGGGTTAGGATAGGACTCGCCGGACACTTTCGTGCACACCATACCGATATTTCGATTGGCACAAACAACGGCGTCCACCATTGGTCCACGTGGTGGACGTAACCGCGAATTGCGCGTGAATTTGTTTTGCATTGAAGATGGCTTTTTCTGCATCTCCCTCACTTTCTTATCGCGCACATCTTGCTCAGATCGTGGGGCAAGGTCAGAACTACCGAAGGGGGTGGGAGAGCACACGGGTAAACAGGCAATGTGACGACAAAGTCACACTGGGCGACTGTTCTCAATGTGAATGACGGCTTGATTGCTGACAACTCGGCCAAGGTCGAGTGCTGGCGTGAGCACTTCGAGCACCATCTCAACTTCAATACCCAACCTATCACGCTCTTGCTCCCCTCTTCAGAGAAGTCTCCTCCTTCTCCAACCCATGTAGTGTCATGCGACCCACTTCTGAAGGAGAAGTCGCCGATGTCATGCAAAAGCTACGCAACAACGAGGCGCTTGCTGAAATCTACAAGCCTTATGTCGACACTCGAGCGCTCTGCCTCTATGAGGTGCATGGACAACCATGGTCAGGCGAGGTTGCTCCTGATGACGGCCTCGGGCATCCTTGTACCTATCCCCAGAAGGGAGATAAGACGAGATGCGAGAAGTACCACGGCATAAGCCTCATCAGTGCTGCTGTGAAAACCTTCGGTAGTGTCCTTCTCAAGCGACTCCAGGCTGTTCTTGACTCTAGGACGAGGTCAACCAAGCTGGATTCCGGTGCTGGGCATGGATGCGCAGAACAGATATTCACACTGAGGCACATCCTTGAATTCCGCCATAACTACCGGCAACCGACGACCGTCTTTTTTGTTGACTTTGGCGTCACGTTCAATTCCGTCCACCATGGGTTTCTGTGGCGGATAATGGCACTACATGATGTACCGTCAAAAAGCATCGTCATGACTAAGGCCTGTTACCACTTCACCACTGAGCGAGTTCTGGTCCATAACAACCTTTCTCCTCCGCTCGGTATTCGATCTGGCGTTCGACAAGATCGTATCCTGTCGACCATCCCGTTTAATTACGCTATTGATTGGGTTGTCGGGAGGGCTCTACAGGAAGATGACTGAGTTGAGTTTTCACCCGGACACCAGCTGACTGATCTTGACCCTGCCGAGGATATTGCCCTACCAGTTTCAAGTTTTGGTGATCTGTAGTCTATGGTGTCGAGGTTGAAGGATATTGCTAAATCGGTCGGTTTATGCATAAACGCTAGGAAGACTAACGTGTTTTCAAGCTACATCTCTGACCAGGAGAAGACACCTGTCGGGGTTTATGGCTGTTTTCTTGGAGTAGTAGACAGTTTTAAATGCCTCGGGGCGAGGCTACTGACGACTGGGCAGAGTAATGTCGACGTTGCCCCTATGGATCCGACGCGACATCTCCAGTGCCATCAAGATTCGCGTGTATCGTGCATCCGTCAGGTCTGTCCTTCTCCGTGGTTGTGAATGTTGGGTCGTGCGCGTGGAGAACGGACGAAAGTTGGAGGTATTTGACCACCACTGCTTGAGGACCACCCTTCGAGTGAATTATATCGACTTCGTCTCAAATGAGACAGCACACACTCGCTGCGCAACATCGCACGGATAAGCCAGGCCATTCAGGAAAGACGACGGCACCGTCACCCCATTGGACGCGTCGAAGGGGGGGGGAGATTAACTCAAAACCTGACTAAAAACAGTTCGTCGAGGCATGGAGGTGGTTCTTGGACCTTCGGTATTCTGTCTTCATCGGTGGCGGGGATAATGGGTTGAACTGTCCAGATCAGTGGCGCCGCGGACCGTCACGCATGGAGAGGTTCAGTTTGGGACATCATCAAGGCCGGCTAGATCAGGCGTGATCGCAGCCGTAACGAGTATTAGTAAGCCCAAACGCACACGAAGACCCTGTTTAGCCAACCCGCTAATAAGTGCTCTGAACTGGAGTTCGGCAATAAATCCGTCATTGCTAGGTCATCACAGAGCCCTGTTAAGAAGAATAATTAATGTCACCTCAGGCTGCAACATTTACCTCCCGAGGTAAATTAGAGGGCGAAACAATAGCAGGAGCGCCAGATGTCTTTCTGAATTTTCTCACACTAACTGCATACGTATACATATAATACCCGAGAAAAAGTTAAGAAGCTAACTTGTTCCCAATCCACTTGAAAAAGAGGTGATTAATGAAAAGTGGCAGGCAGAAAAAAGCACGACTATTTAAAATTTCAAAAAAGACAAAGCTGTGCGACTTCTCGTAAGATGTTCTAAAGCACTTAACATTATTTGCCCCCCAGGGAAGGCAGCACACCTCTTCTTAGTTTGCACGTGATACCAAGAGAGCAGCCCAACTCAGAGCTTGACAGCCAGATATGAACGCAACTGCTCTCGCACTACCGTAGGAGGAAAGAGATGTGAAATCTTGTTGAGAACGGCATGTCGACTGAAGAATATGGAGACACGATAGAAAAAGACAGTTTTGTCGAAAATACTTCTTTCTGCAGTGGAAATTTAATGAGAGGCCTTAAGATGGCTTTTAAGGGGGTTCTGGCAATTAACAGGGCACTTAATGCGGGTGGGTAGTTATACTTTGAGCTGGAATTTTACTTGGCTTTCTATGTGTTACGGTCCGTTTGAAGAGGAAATTTCTCTGACAGAGCAGGCATCAAAAGAAATAAAGATGTGCGAAAATCCTGGATTATTCTATCATAGGGAAAACTGATCCAACGTGGGCTTAAAGTACTGGTGAGAACAGTTTGCGATTAAGGTGAAGAAGTTTTAGTCAATCAGTAAAGGCTTAGTTAACTCGCTCACAAAGCCGATTACTTATGGCAAATGTATTCAAGTATATATACAGGAATGGGCGCACACGCGATCTCCTGACTTCCGGAAGCGAACAAGCTCTGGATGTGTGGCAGAGTCCACGACAAGGCAACCCTCTGCCAAGCCAAACCCGAAAAAACAGAGGGGATAGGGTTCCGTCAAGCAGGTGGTTGCCCGATCGTAACCATTATCACGAATTCGAAGTTTGTTTACCCCAGTAACCGAATGGATCGGTGTGTACGCATTCCTGTATGCATGAATACGCGATATGTAACGACAGGTGGTGGGACAATGATGAACTTCGGTTGGGTGAAATGGTTAAGACCCATACCCGATAGACCCCGTCTGCCGAGCACCTGCGTTGTGTGCGTCCCTGCTTCCGGATAGTGGTCGGAGTCCTGGTTGGCTGGATGAAGGCATGATAAGGTCGAAACACTTCTGCGTCGATCGACCCGCATCTCCGACGTCACCCATACAGGTATCCAAGCCTGTTGAGAGACTAAAAAAGTCTCCCATGCAAGAAGCCCCGGGATGCCTTACGGAAGCTCGCAAGAAAAGCATTCAGAGAGCCCTAGGAGTATGTCAAAGCTCTTTGCTTGAAATGAGTATTAATGGATTGCTTTTTCAGCCAAAATATTCAACTTATTAAAAATGACTCTGAAAAGAGCCCACTGCCCCGCAAAATCATCTGTTGTCTATAGCCTCTTGACAAGGTAATACGTCAGCTAAAGCTATCCCAACATAGTGCGAAAATATGTAACGCATAAGCCATACCTATTTCGTGGGTTTTTTGTCGGATTTTAGTAATCTAACTGATTCGACTGAAGGAAAATGCGGCGACCTTGGCGGAATTAGAACTCGCGAAAGAAAGGACAAGGATTTAGTATAAACAGCGCTCTAACCACCTGAGCTATGAGGCCCTGGCTGCGAACCTTGGTTTTTTTCCCTTTGGACTTATACGCTCGTTCAACCTGCGACAGGGTATGGAATCCACCAATTTTACTACCGTAGGCAGACTTCCCAAGTAGGCTTTCCCATGCACTTAGTATAAAATTTCCCAGATGACTACCAGACTCACACTTCGGTTAAATTTTTCCTGGTCCAAGTGCGAAAATCCCGAGGCTCTCGGTCGGGACCTCAAGGCTCAGATGATCAGAAAGCAAGTTCTGTTAAAGCCTTACCTTTTCTGTTCTCATTCTGGATTCCGCCGAGATTGCCGTGCTTACCACAACAGGGCCAGTTAACTAATTTATATTTTTGTCAGTATGTTACTACTGGAAAGTTAGAATGTCACCATGGGGTCGCTGATTTAGGATTGTCTTCGGTAATTTGATGTACGCCGGTTGTCCTTGATTTATATTTTCATTTCCCTTCAAATTTACGCATTTTGTATGAGTTTAAATGAATGTCGGCACTCTTTTTGATGGGTTTCCTTTATAAACAGGCACTTTGCAGTCCTTTTTGAGACAAAATTTTGAGGGACGATCTTGCTCAACAGCCTTCACAGGTGAGTGTACCTTTCTAGAGGGCGGAGTAGTGTGATTTCTGTCTGACAGTTATCGTCGGAAAAATCTGAAGACATTGCGGAGATGAGACGGCAGATCACATGCTGATACAAGAAGCAGTTATCGGACCCACTTGTTTGAACATCAGCATTGACATTTCGTGACCTTCATAACAACCTTGATACTTACCTTGCTTAATTTCCGAGGAAATTAATGCACGAACTTGGAGTAAATCTTTCCGAACAGACGTTTTCAGGCACGGTCCAAAACTCCATATGAATATTTGAGCTGAAATCCATCAGCTACTGCGAAATAACCGCGTAATATTCACAAACCGCCAACCGACAGCCAGTAGTATGGAATTATGTAATTATTTACCATACTAACAACAGGTAAATAATTACAAAATTCCATACTACTGGTTGACGGTTGGCGGGTTGTGAATATTACGCGGTTATTCCGCAGTAGCTGATGGATTTCAGCCCAAATATTCATATCGAATTTTGGACCGTGCCTGAAAAGGTCTGTTCGGAAAGATTTACTCCAAGTTCGCGCATGGATTTTCTCGGAAATTAAGCGAGGTAACATCTGGAGTTCATATACCAGAAGACACACAGGGGAAGCTGGGGGACCCACTGATGAACCGAACCGGCACAAGATCGGCGAAACACGCGTGTCTGGGCTTTTAGCTAATAACTGTGTTGTTAGTCTGCAGCAGTTGCTATACCATCCAATTACTTTTGAATCAAGGTGGGTTTGGACGTGACACATTCCATATCGGCGACTTTCTAAAATCTTGTCTGCACCTTTTTGACGACTAGAAATTATAATTTTCTATCTGGAATTATATATAAGAAACCACACGGGAATGCTGGAAGACCCGTGGGTGAATCCAAGCTCCTATAATCGTGAGACACAGGCCTAGGCTTCTAGATAATAGCCTTGTTGGACATACATAAATACAATTTTTCAGATGTATTAGACAGCACTAGACCTTCGGTACTTAATAGCAGGAGTCGGAGAATTTAATTTAACCATTTTATTCCAACAAAACTGTCCAGCCAACTGAACAAAACGAGGGTTCTAAGCATGTGGTCCGACACCTGGGTTTGTTATTTTAACGGAGCCTGACATTTTTGCGTGCGACTGCACCTTTGAGCTGGGCCCTTCCCAGGTACCAAACACCTGCTCAGCCACGGTAGAGTTTTTACTCTCAACTTCCACCAGATTCGTGAATTTTGTGGAGGTGAAGTCAGCTGACCTCTGCCAACGGAAGATTTTAATGCGCTGTATGACAAGAAAAGTTTACAAGCAAAGTGTGGGACAGCATCGATTGCACCAGGTAGATAAATTGGTTTAACAATCCATAAATGTAATTAATTAGTTAAGCATGAGTTGTTACCTGCCCATAGGAAGTGTCAGTATGCACCGTCACACGCTTTATTGCACCGGAAGCTCTTGCACTTAGAGGGTTGCCGAAGTAAATTACGGAGGCAAACTTCGTCGCCTTATGCCCAATTTTGAAATCTGACTCGTGGGCGATTCAGGCTAAATGCACAGGTGGCCAGCACTTCCTCGAAAATTGCCATGGCGCTTGAAGTGCTGCACCGCGAATCACCTGGAGACTGAAAGGAGCCTTGTCCTTCGTGAATTAGTCTTGACAGAAAGTCTTTCAAGCGGATACAACTTTCGCGTCTAAACAGTCAGAGGTCGCCAGCGATTGCAGCTCTTAGTATCTGAAGTATTCACGTCTAATTTAGGACTTTC